TAGGTTGACGGTTGGATGGGGGAACCATTGTTTCCAGTCTCCAATGGAGAGATGGAGATCACACAGAATTACAACTGCTCTTCAGATGGCAGAGATCAGTTCCCAGGAGAAAATGGTGGACTCTCTGTCATTATACCCTGCTGAGGTCACCACAGCAAATTGACACTCCCAGAGCCTCTTCCTAGAGCTCGTTGTATCTATTTCCACAACGGGCCTTATTCCTAGTTTCTTATAAATATGGGGGAATTTGAATATTAAATGGCAATGGCTATACACAGGAGCAATAACCTGTGTATAGTAAAGTTATGTATACCAGAGTCCAATTTATCCAGATCCCCAGAAATAGACTCAGAGGCTAGATATCAAATAGAATGATTTATTTTACTAATAATTCTCACACACTTACAATATAAAAACAATCCCACACTCAATCTATACAGACCTAAGAATCTTAGATAGAAAAGGTACAGCAACAGTTGCATTAGCAGGAAGGTATCACTGACTGGGGTGATACTTTACCTGTCCGACATGGTGAGGTGATCCTGCAGTGAATATAGGGGAAAATAGTAGGGGTTGCATGTTGGTCATCAGCAAACATGGTAGACTCCAGACAGCACTACAAATAGAGTCAGCAAGATAGGGTGGTGTCAGGTAAGTAGGAAGTCTGGATTAAGAAGGAAGCTCTTTATGTTCTTGCTGGCTGAATCCTTTTCCCCACTGGGGGCTGGACACATGTGAAGCAAGTGACCAGCTCCTTTGGTGTAGTGGTTAAGTGTGCGGACTCTAATCTGGGAGAACCAGGTTTGATTCCCCAGTCCTCCACTTGCACCTGGCTGGATGACCTTGGGCAAGCCATAGTTCTGTCAGAGGTATTCTTGAAAAAGAGCAGTTTCTGTCAGAGCTCTTTCATCCCCACCTACCTCACAGGGTGTCTGTTGTGGGGAGGGGAAGGGAAAGGAGTTTGTAAGCCACTCTGAGACTCCTTTGGTTTGTGAAGGGCGGGGTATCAATTCAATCTCTTCTTCTTCTTCTTCTTCATGTGACACTGTCAGCCCTTGTCAGAGTATGAGCAGAAAGGACTGTGTGAATGGGTTCTTAGAGTCCTTAGTGTCCAGGTTTTGCTTGAGTGATTTTGAGGGCCAAAAATTTAGTGTGCAGTCTTGCACATAGTTGCTAGGTTGAAATGAGTGAGATTTGAATGCAGTAACTATACAGTGTTATAATCTTAGAATCAAATGTGCCTGTACAGCTTTTGTTGGAATATAGAAGTGAATTTGGGTTATGATTGTTTTTTTCATTCGGACAATGGTGAATTTTTCTGAAAATGCAATTATCTGAAAAAAATATTTTCTTCTTATCTTTTCCCCTCTTGTCAGGTGCTGTAGCTTTTAAAACTAAATATGTGATCTTATCATCTTTCATTTCTCTATCTAAAACTGCATTTTAAAATGAAATAAATGGAGATGTCAGTTCAACAAGGTGTAAGAGTCACTTTTAACTTGTTCAGCATTGGATGGCCTCTGTCTTGTTGGGGTAAAAGAGTCAACAAGAACGAATTTGCTTTCTTAGATTATATCTCTTGAGTGACATTTCCAGACGGACAAACAAAATAGGCTATTACACAACTAGAAGTGAAAGGGATAAGATTAATTGCCTGATCCTGTGAACCCACTGTGCTGAGACTGAAGCCCACGGAGATCACGAGATGGCGTTCCAGCAGTGGCAGAGCTGGGGAAATCTAGATCCAACATTGATGGCCCAGTCATTGACACTTCTCACTAATTCAGGGCTGAGTGGTTAGAGGAACAGATTTCTGGACCAAAAGGGTGAGCTGCTTTGGCAGAAAATCACATGTGCTGGTCAGTATATAACTATGATCACCAGACATCTTTTGTCTGTTTCGATTATGCCTAAATGTATTAGCCTGTTTGTCCAGAGACAGTTTTTGTCGAGATCTGAAACTGAGTGGACTTGAAGGATGAATTTTTGATAATAGGAAAGTGTTTGGTATACTAGGAAATAGTTACTAAATTGCCATTATTTCTCAACCAGATATAGGGATTTTTCCTTGCGCCTTCATTTTTCCTGTTTTAATATTCTCTATTGCTGTGTGGCTCACCACCTCCCCCTTTACTTCTTTCAAGGTCGCCTACTCCCACCTGCAGGAGCACATTTAATTTTTCACCAGAGATATGTGAACTGTCTTTTATTATTCCTGGAATAAGGCTTTTGCTTGCTCATTTTATCCAGCATATGTTCCGCTGCATCTGGCTCAAGCCTAGTGGGATAGCAAAGTGTTAATACACCAAGATTTCTGGCAGGATGGCCCTCAGTTTTCTTATTAGTAATTAAGCTGATGAACATAAATTTCCGTGGGAGTCCCTCATTTTCAGAACAATTGCAATATCATAGGAAAGGCTAGAAGTCTAACTAGCTTTCTATGTCGAAATCTTTACACCATAATTTAAAATTCTGCAGATTCTTCCATATGGGTTTTCTTCTTTCTCCCAAGGCAACATGGAAATAGGAACTTTATGAGTGCCTTTGACATCTCATTAAAGTTAAAACAAAACTCCCATTTATATTACAGATTAGGATTATGGTGCTCATGTCTTGGTCCGATGAGCTGCTGTACCAAAGTGTAAGGTTCTAACAATGGAACGAAGGGATGAGTCATTCCCTAGACTTCTACCACCCACCTAAGAAATTAACCACTAGTGTAAGACAGTGACAGTGATGTGACAGTGCAAACTAGGAATGGGCATGAACCACATTTTTGTGGTTCAGTTTGGTTAATGACTGACCCACAAATGGAACCACAAACTAAACCGATATGCCAGCCCTGAACCAAGCCATTCATATAGGTTTGTGGGCCATTTAAAGTTTAAAACCCTGGTTTCTGGGTGAAATGGCCCCTGGAAGGCACTTAACCCCTTCCTATCTGGTGGTCATGGAAAGATGTGGCCAGCAAAAAGGTGGGGTGAAGTGTCCCTGGAAAGGCACTTCAGCCCTTCCTTTCTGCTAGCCCAGCTGTCTCAGGCCTGCTTGCACAGCCTTTTTAAAGGGGCTGCACCAGGCAGCCTGAGGCAGCTGAGCTGGCCCAGAGAGACTGCTCCATGCCAGCCCAGCTGTCTTGGGCCCGCTCATGCAGCCTGTTTAAAGGAGCTGCACCAAGCACCCCGAGGCAGCTGAGATGGTGGGGAGAAACTTCTCTATGCCCACTCAGCTGCCTCAGGGTGCCAGGCACAGCCCCTTTAAATAAGCTGCACAAGTGAGCCTGAGACAGCTGGCAATCCGCGGACAGCAGAAAGGTGAGGGTAAAGTGCCCCCAGGAAGGAACTTCACCTCTTCCGTTTAAACTCTCCTTTCTGCTGCCCATGGCTTTTCCTGGGAAGCAGAAAGCAGGCTATTTAAACCCCTGTTTTCTGATCCCAGTGGATAGCCAGTGGTGGTTGAAATGGCTCCAAGCCATTTAAACCTTGTTTTCTGCTCCCACAAAAAGCCATGGAGAGCTGAAAGCAGGGTTTAAATGGCATGGAGCCATTTAAACTGAACAATTGAGCAGCAGGGAGCTCCCAGCCACTCAGCTGTTTCTCCTGAAGAGCAGAAATTGCTCTTCACGAAACATCACAAACCACCATTAATTGCACCAAAATTCATGGTAATTCATCTCAGTTCTTCAGTTCACAAACTTTGGTTCGTGAACCCCCAACAGGCCAAAATTCATGACCAACTTTGGTTCATCAGCCGGGTCATTTCCATCGCTAGTGCAAACTGCTCCAAAGTTCACTGCTTTGTGGAACAGAAGATTCCCTTCACAGAAGCTGAATCTTCAGTCTGTCTATAGGAAACTACCCCTAAACAGATGCAGCTACCTGGATTCCATAATGTATCCATTATAGTTCAGAGGGTTTCTGCAATACAGTGGGACATGCCATTCCACTAATGATGTCATCACACAGTGCCATCGTAGAAAGCCTCTGAATGCATAGGCCTACCACATGCATAGGTCTACCACATTTCAGGAGCCACCACAAATGCCATTGGATCCTGTCGGATTCCAGTAATCTTGATGGTGGAGCAAGAGTTTCCAGAATCCAGCAAACTAAGCATTCTGAAAGAAGGGGCATGAAAATTTGGTAGTCTTTCACGTGAAGAACATAGGTTTTCCATGTGAGATGGTTCTGTCCATGAGATCTACATGTTCAGCTGCCCCAAAGAACAGAGGCACTGATAATTTGCCTCAGTGGTTTTATATTATGACCACCAGTTTCAGCAGCAAAAAATTATTTATTGCAGTTATATTCTAAAGATCCTGAGGCTATGTACATAGGTCTCTGTAGCTGTCTGCCATCCAGGTACTGAGCAGGCTCAGACCTGCTGAGATTCCATGAAGTTGCTCAAGCCCTTCCTTTATCTATTAAGGATAAACTTCTGCCAAAGAGTACTATTCTTTTTCATGATTTATGAATACTGGCAATTAATATTACAGTGCAGTGGTCCTTTCATTACTTGAAGGTATGAAACAGTGTTGCAAAATTACCTGGTATTGAAAGTATGCAATAGTGAAGATTTCTAAAAATATTACTAAATTTACATATGTTCTAATGATGCTGCTGGTTGTTTCAATGTTTGTTTCTCCAGTACCTTTATACTGTACACTTTGGGGAACAATTATTCATCTATCATTTAAATGAAATTGCTGTAGTCTGCTCTGAACCCAGAGAATAGGATGGTTGCCTCTAATATATGGTGTGGTTTAAGTCACACTTTTCTCCATCTGTACCAATGGTAACAAATATTTGTTGTTCCCTTCTGTAGAATGCAAAGATGTACATTTACAGGAGCATTATGGAGCCGTGAAGTTACTGTTACATTCCAGTGCTCTTCTCCCAATGGCATATAATGCATTTTTTCCCTTTAATGTCCAGTAAAGGTAGCAAAGCCAGAGAAGGATGTATGTGATGCTCAAAATATATATTTGCATGTGTCTCTTTCAGTTCATTGGCTGTTCACCACTTGCGGTGCCAGCGGACCTGAAGGGCCCATCCAGACCCAATGCAATGATGCCTATAGGAATTCCAACCTCAGTGTAGTGGTAGGGACAGAGGAAAATTTCCCAGGCGTTCAGATTTGGAGAGTGCCTGAAACCAATACTTACAGGTAAGAATTCTTCTGTTATTTTGCTAGGCCTTATGTCTTAAACATTCTAAAACCTATAGCTAAGCCCCAGAATGCAAGAAGCAATAATGAGGACAGAGCCTCTGAGCATGAGTAGAAATAAGTGCTGCTATTTGAACAGGGTAATCAAAGACTTTCCAAATAATGTAAAAGATTCCAATTAATCAGTCAAAGCTCTTTCTCCTTACCTCTCTCTTTTTTTCTCTTCCACATTGGTCTTTACCATTTTCCTCTGTCCATTTCACATGGACAACGGGAATGGTTAGACATAGTTAGATGGAGGTATAAAGGCTTGGAATTTTCCTGTATGCTGACACCATTACTGAATCTTGCCTAACCTAGCCTCTTGAAGGAGTTGACTTGGCAAGCAAAAAGGATAGTTAACCTGCCCCACCTCCAGGGACATCACACTGGGCATTTTAAGAATGGTTTAAGGCTGTATTTCTGCAGGTACCCTTGGGAACAAGCCCCTTTCAGATAAATGGGACTTGCTTGTGGGCAGCCTAATCCAAGAAGCATGGGGGTTGTCTTCAGAATTATTGGCATTGTTCATATACACATTTAATTATTAATCTATTAATTTATATTTAATTAGGTGACAGCTGTTTTAACTAGCCTTTTCATTACCATCAAAGACTTTAATTGGTTTTTAAATAGTATTATAGATACAAAAAACACTCCATTGTTTGCATATCTGCTGTGAAATATACTGACTGAATTGTTGACACATGAATCTTTACCTCTGGGTATGTCTGCAATTTGAATGCCACATTTTTAGCAGGTATGCAGTGGCATGAAAGAGTTCTACTCTGCAGTTTCTATTGTACTTAGTTTGTGGCAGTGAAGCCTCTGACATTGGTTGGCTGGGCTGGTATGGTAGCACAGAATAGTCAATTGCTCCAGGAAATAAAATAGTCACAGCATACCTTCTATGAGAAAAGGGGAACGCCCTAGTTTTGCTGCTATTAAAACTTCCCTCAAAGACAGGGCAATTTCTCACTAGAGCTGCCTCGCAGCTCAGAGCTGTTTGCCCCAACACAAACATGTCAATTTCACACCCGAGGCTGCGGGGCTGCATTTGACTCGGGGCTTCGCCCGATTTCCTCCGCAGTTTCATGATCCTCAAAAACCAGGATCACGAAAGTGTGGAGGAAATCGGGCGAAGCCCCAAGTCAAAATGCAGCCCCGGAGCTTCGGGTGTGAAATTGACATGTTTGTGTCGGGGCAAACGGCGCTGTGCTGCGAGGCAGCTCTGGTGAGAAATCGCCCACAGACTAAGGACTGGCTCCAGGATATCAGGAGCAAAGTGGTTGGGAGCCCAGAGCTAAGATTGGGAAGGGTATAGCCAAATCAAAAGAGAGGCCAACAGCTCCCATCTTTTGGTGATTATATTTAGGGAGGCTTGGAAGACTGTAGGACTATTGAGCAGGAAGCCGAGAATACCATGATTTTTGCTTGTAATTAGGACTTTCACTCAATTCAGGACATCTGAGTTTATTAATCTATAAGTTTTAGGTGATTAGTCAATTAAACATGCACACGAATAAAAGAAATCATTCTGAAAACATTGTTTTTAACCTGAGCTCATATATTTTGCTGTGAGTCCATCTTAGAAGAAGCATCCGTTCCAAGGTGAGAGAAAGTGGAATGCCTCTTCTCAGATAGTGCTGGTTTCCTGAAGTCTCGGAAGTATTTTATTTATGATATATATTTTTACATTAATTTTTTAAAATCTGCTGTCTTGAATATTTGGGAGAATTAAAAGGTTTTCAATCAATTAGTTGATTAATTAGTTGATTAGATTCGATAATTATAGATTTAATAATTATAACTAATATTTAATCACATTTCCTACAGCAATCACAATATGGGTGTTATGCATATGCCAATTTAATTAATTAATCTATAACATTTTCTCCCCTCAATAACTCATTCTATCAGTGTCCAACCATAAACTCCAAGTTTTACGATTCATGATAAAATGCAAATATTTTAGTAACTTGGAGATTAAATCAAGCATTTTTATTGGTGGTATAAAATTCTCAACTAATTTTCCCGGCTCAGATTTTGATCGCTATATTTGAGGTGAGAAAACAACTTTCCTCTGGCCAAATTGGCTGTTTTTCTCACTTGCTTATCTGGAGTTATCACATAAATCTGGTATATGTTGGTCCTGCCTTGGGATGAGGTAATAGATTTCAGTTTTAAGATACTGGCAATGCCATCCTAAAAATACTTTCCTAGGAGTAAGCCTCACTGAATAGCCTTGAGTTGGATTCTGAGGAGCCCCGTAGCCAGGAATGTTTATTGGGGGGGCATTTAGAATCCTCAGGGAGCAGCAGGTAATCAAATTAAAGAAATTTTGATAGCCTTAATTGAATTACCTAATTCCCTCCCTGCAGGCTGCAGCAGCAGCATGATCTTCAAAGGAGACCGGCACAGAGGAAGCAGGGTCTGGGCTCCGTGAATCAGTTTTCTGTTTCCTTGGGAGTTGAGCAGCATTTGGGGAGGGCGGGGGAAAGAGGGCAGAATTGTGCGAACACTCCCAGTGGTTGTGTGTGTGTGAGTGTGTCTGCTACTGCTTCTCCTCCTTGAGTAACTGCTACAGTTTGGCAATGAGAGGAACACAGGAAGCAATAGGAGCTTCACAGGGCACAGAGCAAAGAGAGATCCAGGAAGAAAAGAGCTGCACTCTATGTCTTCATGCCCTTGAAATCTGCCATCCCCGTCAGCGCTGCAGAGGCACAGAGAAGCCGGCTCCATGGTCAGCCAGTCTCCTGACACACAGGCCAGTCCTGCCCACCATGACAGGAATTAGGGCTTCCCTTCCCACATCCCCCCTGGCCGGCCACCCCGTGCTCACCCCACAAGCCTGGAGATGGCCCAGGAGACCATGGTGCTACTGAGGGCCAGGCTGCCAAGGCTCAACTTCAGTCCTCTCCCTCCCAGGCATGGAGTGACCTGGAGGCCTACACCCGGCCCCGCCTGCTTCCCCGTGGCCCAGAAAGCCGGGCAGAGGAGGAGAGGGCCCAAGAGAGATTTCTCCAACTCACCCAGTGCTTTCTCTTCTCCAGCATCCCTTTATCACCCCCACCAAGGATCTCACCCCTCATGCAGCAGCATGCGGAGCAGCTGTGCCAACTTATTTTTTTTTAATTTAAAAATCCAGAGAAGATTCATGAGAGATCAGGGCAAATTCAGGGGGGGTGTTGCTCCAAATGCAGCCCTGTGGCTATGGGCCTGATTCTGAGTCCATCTGCTAGAATTACGCTGTGAGGCATCTGTGAGTCTATGTCGAAATCCACTAACAATATACAGCATGAGGAAAATATATTTTCATAATCACTTTTGCACTTCTTGAAACAGCATGCAGCAACACATGGCTCTTTCAAGGTACAGAGGATCTAGACCATGTTCTTCTTTCCTCAGGGGCTTCCCCATTCACTTCCAAGGAAGGCTGACTCTATGCACGCAAATGGGTGACGAATGGCGGAGTCTCTTCTGTTGAACTGCAAGGGCTAGCCCATACACCGAAGGGCTCCTTCTGTGCCTTGCAGCACATACAGAGCTCTGGATCCTAGTGTGAAACAATTATTTAAAATGTTGATATGGCACATAAACAAATACTGTCTGTCTCTTATTTTTTTTTAATCTGATGCCAATGAGTTTAGCCCAAAGGCTGATCAGAGCACATTCTGCTATAACCATTAAGGTAAACTTAACAAGGGGTAGTGCTTAATTAGCAACATTTTAGCCAGCTGGTGGTGATGTGCAAATATGATTGTGTCTAATGTAAATAGTCTTTTACTAAGCAAATATGTATTTATGTTGTTGATAATTGAAATAAGAGAGTCAGCAGTTAAGCCACTGGTGGCTGAACTCTATGATGTAGGCAGTCTTTTTAAACCAGCCCCTTTCCCCCACTGGAAACGGGGAATCTTGGCATAGCATTACATACATTTTTAAATCTAGTACTGTGTATATGCCACTGATTTTCAGGTAGGTCTCTTTATTGAAGATCGAGGTGTCATGTTTAAATAGCTGAAGTACAATGTGCTGTTTTAGGTTTTACTTTTTTGTTTTGATTGGAAAAGTGACATTGCACGATAGATTTTAGATTCTGAGCATCCATGACTTAGTGTTACAGCCATACAAAATAACAGAGCAGGCGCCTAGTGAAATTGACTATGAGAGGCACCAAATCTGCTCGCCTATCCATTTCCAGGGCGATTGATGATAATGAAAAAACTAATGATGTTTCACTCAGCCATCTAGAAAAGAATGACTTGCCTGTGGGGGAACGGGTAAGAAGAATTTTTCAAGGCTGGCATATAGTATGTACACGTATAAAATATAACCCCAAAGCAAAGGAGAAAAGTAGTAAATTATATGCACGAAAGTCTCATTTCTTTAATGTTAATGCCTAAGGAAGAAGCAAAATTCACCAGCAGCCATGGTCTGATTCTGTTTTATGATACATTTACAAGTACATCAAAAGTTCGAGGTCATCAATATGCTGATGTTTTGTACAGGATATGGTACAATTGGGAGCTTGCATGTAGTAACTGGTGCCAACCATTTGAGAGTTACACGCTATGATGGTAACAATGTCCTCTACACTGACATGACTTGGTACTCCGTGCCAGTGGAACCAGATAGCTTGAAACTGCATGCCAGCAGAATAGTTTGAGACAGCAAACCTGCACTGGCAACCAATCTTTACATGGGGCGGGTAAAGAAATGTCTCTAGGGTTGGGTGGGCAGTATCTTCCCAGTGGCATGTATCTCAGCTCCTTAGCTTGTTTTAGCTGTAGCTTTTTCAGATGATTCTACACAGAGGTTTTTCTCTGTTTCAGTTATGTGCTTTTTTTGTTGTTGTTGTCCTCCATTCCTGTTCAATCACCAACAGACCATTCCCCCCCCCCCAGTAAAAACTCCACTTTTTAAAAAAAACCTGTTGTTGGGATGACATTTCTCATGTGCGCAGAAGGGGAGGTACACCTTATGTTCGGATTAAATAAACGTCCCCTTTTCCTGTTTCTTCTGCATTTGCACAGTGAATTGCCTCAGTGTCCAACAAAGGTCAGGGCAATTTCCTAACACTGTTACTACATCACAACATACTCCTGGCAAGTATTTTTCTTTGCTCTCCCAATTAGCATTTGAAAAATGCTCTGTCCCCTTCCCCCAAGCAGCAGGGAACCAATTAATCTTTTCAATATGGACTAGCAGGATAGGTTACCCAGTAATTTCCAGTAATTAGCATTACTGGAAAATTCAGGTATTGTGTTAGTCTGGAACAGTGCTATGCAAAGGTACAGGGTTTGGGGTTTTTTACAGGTATGCACCATTTTAAAAAAAAGATGGGTGGACAATTATGACGGGGCAGGGGTGGGTGGAATGCAGTCATCATCTAGTGTGAAAGGGAAATCATGATTAATTAGGGTGTGGGGGAAAAACAGATTACCATGTGGTGGGTGGAATCTATTGTAAGTGTGAATTGAACAACAATCACACTGGCAACATAAACCACTACCTCATGTTTAATTAGCCTGGGTAGCTATCCAAACAGTTTGGCTTCAGGAAGGGCAGCAAAGTGGAAACAAAGGAGGCAGTGAATATTTGTTAAAATGGGGCAAAAAGTAATATTGATCAGTGTGATGTTTTTAAAAGAATCTTAAAATGATAGGATACTGTTACATTCTCTCCAGTTCTCTAACAGGCAACAAGCTTCAGGGGTAGCACTTATTTTCCTGCTTGGTTCCTTGTGGAGGGGAGAGCAGTGGATTCTCATAATTTTTTGTAATATTTGCTTTATTTACAAATGTTTAAGTAAAGCACAGGTAGGATGGATGATTTGCTACCCCACATCAGGTGCCAGAGAGAGAAATTTTGCATCCTCAAGATGCTTCCCAGCAGTTTCTGTCTGTCTCTGCCACTTTAGGTCAAGCTCATAGGATGGTCTAGGTGGTTTCTCCAGAGAGGAAGTACATGATAAATTTGGGCTCTGTTTGTGGCACATTTGAGTCCAGACTACATAAAATGACCAATAGGGAGTCTGCATAAAGTTTTCAATAAGTACATGAATAGGCAGGGCATTGGACTGACTGTAGGCAATTTTGGGCCATTTTACCTCCCCGCTTTTGGAGTAATAATGAAAAAAGTTCTTGTATAGCACAAACACTGGAGACTTATAGGGTGAGACAGTGGGTATTTTCAGACTTATCCCCATCCTAAGGGAATCTTAAGATGGAATCATGTAAATTACTAGCCAACAAACCATTTTACTTTTTTAAATGTGGGGGCTTTGGGAGGGGGTAAAAGAACAAAAGTTTGAAAAGGAGACAGAATAACCCTCCAAACTTCACTGTGCTGCCTGTGGGTTATATGCTACCCTTTCCTGGTTTTTGTTCTCCCTAACACACCCAATACATGGTATGTGTGCCCCTGCCCCTCGTAGCAGCAGTAAAGCAGACGTGCACGTATATTTGCAGAACTGGGTCCTTATTTTGATATCTCTGTATCCCCTAGAGGTAGTCTTATTATCCATTACTATTACTTGACCAACTTTTACTTATTTCAATGAGATGATCGCCAGCACTCTCAAGAACTGTGTAAATCTGCAGCCCTTCATCAATGGCAGAACAAATGACCTCTTTGTGGCGACTGGCTTTGACAAACACGGAGCAGCCATGGCCCAGGCCTTGCTGCTGCTTTTTCCTTCACAGCTGGTGAATGAGGCACTAACGGTGTCTCTCTGGGTTCCTGGCTTTATTGCTTGTATGCAAAATCTACTCATACATAGAAAAATATGGCCCCTAATTGCAGCCAATTAGCCCTGCCAGCTTGCCTTGCTCGATAGTGCACCTCATTAGCCGTTATAGCTTCCTGCTGCAAATCAGCTCAATTTCTCCTGTTCATCGTAGCATCTGTTCAAGGGACCCTATCCTGTGACCACCGTTTCCTCTCTGGTGTCCATTGAAACCTTGCTGAAAAATGATTGTTTGGGTTACAGAAAGTGACACGAACATAGTCGGGTCAGATTCTAAAAATTTCTCTTGCTTAGTGAGCCGCTTGGAGCTCTGCAGCCGCTCTGTGACAGTTAAGCCTTTGAGTCAATCTGCCTGCCTTGGAAGAGTACCATCAAAGTCTAGGTGTTATTATTAAAATAGTCAGTGTGACAGACACAAGATGAACAGATGAGTTAAAAAAGAAGGGCTGGGACAAGGAAGAATCTGGAGACTTTAGATTCAGTACCAAGGAAGCCCAAATTATCCTGCTCTCTGAATGTGTAATTCCACTTGTACTTGATGCACAAATAATTTATTTCATGTGCCCTTTGACTTATTCTTTCTTTTCTTTTCCTTCCAGCATCTCAGTGTATGGGGCAGCTGGTGGCAAAGGGAAAAACACCATAATGAGGTCACACGGTGTTTATGTGGTGGGGATTTTTAAACTCCAAAAGAACGATGCCTTATATATTTTGGTTGGGCAGCAAGGAGAAGATGCTTGTCCTAGTGTAAGTGATCATCCCTCCTGATGAGCATTTTTCATTTGCTGGAATCTTCAGGTTTTTATCATTTTAAACTTGTTTCTCAATATATTTCCTACTGGGTGTGGCCTAAAGATTAGTCTGTGTTCCTAACCACTATCCAACAAACATGACCTCTCTCAGAATAATACTCTTTAATTCCCCACCCCAAAGATAAACCTGCACAGCCCAGATTAAGGACCCACTCCCATATGTGGAATGAGAATGTATCTTTCGATCCACCTCATCTGAAACACATGGTGGCTGAATAGCTGAATTGAGGATATGCATGTACAGATTACATAGTTGATTTTCCAAATAAAATTCAGGAAATCTGCCTAATTTGTAATCCCATATGCCACGTGTTGACATGAAGTCTCCATACAGATGTTTTCAGGCAGTTGCAGGTACACCAGGAAGGAGGTTCAGGTAGCTGTGCCATCACTCCTTGGGGTCTTCCACATTCTCATTTTTGTCACTCGTTTGTCCCTATTGCTTTGGGTCCCCCACCCCTTTTCCATGTGTGTTTTGCTCCCTTTGGGTCTACTAGAGAGAGCAAAACACATTGGGGGGACGGGACCCTGAAGCAATAGGAACACACAAGTGATGAAAATTAGAATGCAGAAGAGCCCATTTTACAGGTAGGGGAATGGATCTCTTCATGGTTTCCTTGCCTGAGCTGGAAAGTCAGGCTGTTCATTTCACTGGGGACAGATGATCCAAGCAATGTCACTGATAACCTGTTGTGTTCCATTGTTTTCTGTGTCGCTTTCCCATATTTTTCTCAACCTCATTTGTGGCCATATTTTAAAACATAACGCACAGTTGCAGTGTCAGGCTTTACTGTCCCTGTAATTTTTCTCCCTTTGACTGCCAGATGATTCTTTTTTGTCATTTGTGAATTAATTATAAGTTATAAATTGGGAGGGTATTCAATAATGTTTTCTTCTTTGCAAAAAGTCAAAGCATATTAATATTATGTTTTTATTCATAATCATGCTATTATACAATTGTAAGCAATAAAATTTTAAACATTATGAGTAGTGACATCGGCTGGATACAAAATGAAAAGCATGACTTAATCCCCACTCCTCAGCATCCCTAAAGGCAGAACAGATAATTAAGAATTAATTCATGAGTGCCCCAAGAGAACCCAGCCAGCCTTTAGAAAACAGGAAGCAAGTAGGGGGAAAATTGCAAGAAGTGAAACATTTGATGAAGAAAACTACTTTGGAATATCTTGCTTGTGGAGACCAATTTTTAAGTGCCACATGGAAGCATTATTTGAATTCTGTTTGCAGCTGAATGTAGAAAAAGGCTCTTTCAGCGGCTCAGAAAGGTCAGAGCATGGAACCAGCACTAGTTGCCAGTCTAGGATTCCAACCACTTGATGCTGAGTAGTTAATCTTAAAAGGGGTAGACCATTCCATCCTAGCACTCTTCTGCCTATCTAATAGCTACTCTAATCACAGATAGCTATGTGATAGCTTTCTAATAAAGGTGTATTATCACCACTGCTGAGAAAGGCTGTGGGTGGCATGGATGCTAGCTCCTCAGGCAAGGTCCATTCTAGGGAGTGTTATTTCCTATGGTTCATGGTCAGAGGTTCTTGGCTCAGGGGTCTATCTGCTACGAGATTCAGGCTCAGTTGCAATTGGGTACTGCTGTAGTTGGTGTAGTTGGCTCCTTGTCCTCCAAGTCCATGCTGCTGAGGATGGCACTCATGTACCACCTACCAAATGTTTTGTCTTTCCTGTCTCACAAAACTCACTGGCTATGAGGTGGGTCTGTTCATGTTTATGTTTGCATGAAGGATGATGGTTACAAGTGAATTAAATGTTAGCATGATAGATGAGATGAATCCAGCTTGTGTTTCTTTTCTTTTTCTAATGTCTGTTTCTTGTGTTTCTTTTCTTTTTCTAATGTCTGTTGAATGAAAAGGTCTGAGATGAGGAAAAAAGGAGGTGATGTCTTTTGCAATTGCATCACGCCATTTGCACTGGGCATTTAGTATTCTATGGGATTCTTGAAATGAGAATCCTGCAGGTGGCTAAGGTCCAGATAGCAGACGCTTATGCTGTTATTACAAAGCGAATGAAGGACATGAGGTCCATAGTGCAGAAGCTCAGGCAGTAGCCGGAAAAGTCTTGAACAAGGATGTCATTCTGTCCCTAGTTACATCAATACAAAAAGTTAATATATTTTGTAGTGAGAACTATCCAAACTTAGGCTCCAAATTTGTATCCATAATCTGGGCACTGCAGCACAGCATAATATATGGTGTCATTAAATTACAGGCCACTGTAATCTTAGCAAGGATTTATTGAGTGCTAATGTAATTCTTTCAACAAGGCAAAGAGATTGCATTGACTTGTGGAAGCAGCTTTAACTTGATTGGATTGTAATCAGTTATGTCTTTGCCATGAAGCCTTCTTTTTTTAAAAAAAAAAAATCTAGTTGTGATCTATTGGTTTCTCTGGATCACTCCACTAAGTCATTTGATTAACCATCCCTTTTCCAGTTGTGAATTAGAGTTATTAAGTGGTTTTGGGGGGGGGGGGTTATGGCACATACAGCCTTCTGGGGACCGGCTGTGGAAGCCTCCTCATGCTCGACAAGCGTAACTTTTTATATAGTATGAATTTAGGACCAAATTGATCAGGGTCTCTTCTCCTTGTAAAGTACTTCCAAGTAAAAGTATCTTAATGCAGACCTGGATTTAGTTAATATCATCCAAATGAGTTGCATTAAGGAGATCGCTTCTTTCTGACCCTGCAATTAACTCCCTTCTATAAATTGTGAGAGAATCCAAGGTCTGAAAAACACTAATGGAGATAGTTACCTGTCATATTTATTGTTTGTTAAAGTATTTCTACTCCCCCAATAAAAAAATCACCCAAGGGTTACTTACAAATCTAAAAATAGTAAAAAGAATATCCAATTTACAACAAAATGGTAGTTTTAAAATTCACCTTTTAATCAGATATTATTAAAAGTACCAACTTTACTTTGTACGTAAAAAAATAGTATTGCAGGTGCAACATGAACTTAAATTTCCATTACAAGGATACCACTTTATCCACAGCAGCTCCTTGCCTGACCTCAAATGGTACACAGAGAAGGGCTTTTAATTAAGATACTGTTGAGCAGGCTCATATGGGACCAAGAGAACCTTACAGTACCCTGGCCTCAGATTATATGGGGCTTTATAGGTCAAAAGCAGAACTTTGAATTATGCCCAGAAGCAAACTGAATGGCACTGAGTTTTTTTAGTACTGGGGAAATGTGTTTCCAGTTGCCTGTAAGTATATAAGTGTAGTTGCCATACTCTGTATCAACTGAAGTTTCCAAACAGTCTTCAAAATCTGCTTACTAGAGCATAGTTAACAGCGGCAGTCCTGATACTAAGGCCTAATGTGTATATACATTACTGGATAACTACACACCAAATAAAGGCTTAGATCGGTGAATGAGCCAGCATTGATATGATGTGAACATTTTACATTTCCCTCCATAAAGTCAAGCCCCATACTTTTCATTGGCACCAATTCTCACATTCAATTGCCAGTGCATCATGTGCAGAGACAACATGGTATACATGTTCGTGTAGCCAGACCTTGATGTTTCAGCCAAAAATGAAAGGGAAAATACACAGTAAGAAACTGTCAACACAAAAGAAACTGTGTGATGGAGTAGCAGACACACCTTAAACATGTAAATTTATATAAATATCATATCAGACTGAAAACATCTCCAACAAAATAATATCAAACCTGTAAAGGAGCACTAGTTCCATCACTAATAACCCACAATAGCAAGGTTATTAGTGATTGAAGTGGTGCCCCTTTGGAGGTTTGTTATATTTTTTTGGAGATGTTCTCAGTCTGATATATTTATATACATTTACATGTTTAAGGTGTGCCTGCTACTCCATTACACAGTTTCTTTTGTGCTGACAGACCTTGATGTTTGGCAGGTGAACTGACTTGCCAAAAAGCACTCTGTTTGAGGCAACATGGAAGCATTCTGTTGGTTGTGCTTCATGGTATGTGCAATGACTAGCTACAGTATTTAAAGGCATAGTGATAGATTGGATAGACCTTCTGTTTGATCCAGCAGTGCAGATTGTATGCTGTTATTTAAAAAACAAAACCTGAATCAATCTTATATTATGCCATCATCTGAATAAGATCTGGAGTGAAAGGTGTCGACATCAGCTGATGCTGCACCATATCCTTCTGCTGTTAGACGTGTGCTGTATCCTAGAAACCTAAGATTACTCAGAGACCCAAAAGCTCCCAGGGAAACAATGATATAGACCCATTTACCCAGAACATCTTCTTTGTCATTTTATTGGGCACGTTGTTAATCAACTTCCAGTAATGAATTTGTTATCCTTTGCCCTGCATGGGGCAAGGTATGGAATCACTGCTGGGCTCTGCAGCCCAGCCAAGCTCACATACAGGGTACATTTGGGTGAACATCACTGTCAAGGGAAGGAAGGATGTGCAAATAGGCAAAGAAGCACACCAGTATTCTGGGCTCTGCTAGTGACCTCTCCTCCCCCCAGATTTGTGTCTTCGTTTCCCAACCTGTGAGATGGTTCCAATAATTAATTTTTTATTGAAGAATCCCTTGAAATCTGTATGAAGGCAAAACCATTATTGGCAGGAAAGAGGGATTTCCCCCCCAATAATCTTCTTCACAGATAAAAATATGCCATCAGTTTATGGGACTGTCAGCCTAACACTTTATGAGCACCAAATTCACTTTGAAATGGTTACATTAAGCAGCACATTAGCCCTGAATCTACTAAGCAGAGCAAGAGTGTCGGTTCTTCTTCATTGAGCTCTTAGTCCATTATCATTCCTTTCCCAACTGGCACAGTAACAACAATTCTGTGCCCCACTGCTTGTAAATACTACAAGGAGGGGAAAAGTTAGAAGACACAAGAGGGTTGTAGTTGGTAAACTTTTATATTAGAGGCAAGCTGACGTGATGTGGGAGATCTGTGATCAAATTTTGAGGATTTTTTTTTACTTCAAAACGTGTGGAGCTTCTGATTTTATCAGGGAAGCAGAGCTAAAGGAAGGGGTACTTAATTCTTCCCACACTATATCCCCAGTCTAGCATACATATACCACAAGCTGCTGTTAGCATCTCTTAGATAACGGAAAGAACCCTAGGCTTCATTAGCTGCCATCTTAAGTTGGTCAAGCCTTTTTGTGCCCCCCCCACCGCTCTTTATCACAAAACTTGTTCATTGGTAAGTAAATGTGAGATTTCCTTTGTAACTGATATCTCAGTTACAATCTGTTTATTTTAAGTGATATGCTAATTGTCTGGATGCTAAAGCTTGATAGGAGAATCTCCTTTCTTGCCAGACAATCCCTTGGGTGTAAATGTACAATAACCTGTCTCCATTAACAAAATGTCCGCAGCTACTTGGTTTTGAATTTTTTTTGCATTACTTCTGGTGATTGTCATAACTTTTTCTTTCATGGACTAAAATGGCACATTTGCCAGTCAGTCCTAGGTACAAGACTTCACACCACTGGGAAACTCTCTTAGTAGTTTGTGGGGTGAGAGACAGGAGATGGTTTAGAGCTTATTAGAACTTATTAGAGCTTAGACTTCTCTGACAGCTCTTCTCTGGAGCTCTTGAGACAGTCTATCCAATATGGCTGAACTTCCTGCTGTTTCTCCAATTGGAAAAGGCCATGTCGTGTGGAGGCCACTTTGTGTATATAAATATAAGAATAAGGTGTGCTGCTTGCCTAAGAAGGGCCAGCTGGTGGCAGTTTTTCAAAGGTTTCAAACTCTTAATTGGGGTCAGAGAAAGATAGCCCAGTTGGAAGTGCAGGGTTTGGGACAGTAGAGCGCTCTACATGCTCCCAGAGGGCTGCCAATCCTTCCATTACAAACATATGTTTCCTCAGCACTGCTAATGGCCCCAAAGGAGAAGGTAATTTAGTGCTGGAGGAAAAGGTTAAATATTCTTTCCTATTAGTCACTTTTTAATGTCAAATTAGTTGCCTCACACAGCTATTTTGAAATAAAGACATGGAGAGTCTGCTATTTTGTAAGGAAAGGCAGTATGGATTCATTTTAATTAATAAATGGGAAAGGGATATATATTCATGGATCTCCTGTGCTGCAACTATTATGGCCCTTGGTGCATACAGAATCCCATTCTTGCTCTCTGAACCTGGACCTGTTCTTTCATCTGCAGACCAACCACATCATACAGAAAGTCTGCATTGGTGAGAATAATGTGGTTGAAGAGGAAATTACAGCAAATAAGACCATCCATGAATGGGCAGGAGGAGGTGGTGGCGGTGGAGGAGCAACTTATATATTTAAGGTACACACAATTACAGCCTGTACAGATCTTAAGCTACATCCTTCCACCTGAATGGACTTGGTGTATTGACTCTCCCTCCAGCTCATTCTTTTGAGGATAGAATGGCAGGAAATATGAATTTGGCCTTCTCATGAGCATTTTAATTGGATCACATGCTATCCAAGACTTTTGATATTTCCCTTTTTTTTAAAAAAAATCTAAATTTGCCTGTTATCATACCTACATTATGCATCTCAAAATAGAAAAATGACGGCTTTTTGTTGTTTGAGAGGCCATGCCTCCAGGAAATGCTCCGGCAGGAAAGATAATGCCTGGTGTACTGATAACACACACAGTTCAGTCTGTGCCTGCTTAGAGGTTGAAGATGGTACACATCCACTTGTTACCTTGTTAGACTTGTGGCTTTACTTGGGATTTAAAATGTTTCAATGCACATTACTTAGTTTTCCAAATGCAAAGAATGTCTATGCTTTCCTATAACACAGACCCCGGGACTTTAGCACCAGATGCTTTACAGCAGGGATAGGTAATTTTTTTTTGTCCAAAAAAGGGAGCATGTACCTGTGAAAACGTTAGGTGTGCCAACAAACAAAATGAGTTGTGCTTTGTTGATGATAGTTGTACTTTGCCAGACATGCATGAAGCAAACCAAGCCCCAACAATGCTGCTGGTACCTCAGCTATTCATCTTGGACTTGGCTGGTGGCTGTGCAGGTCTGGGAGGCAATGACAGACGTAATCCATGCTTATTGTCTTCTCCTGCACTGCCAGCCCCAGAAGTATTGCCAGTGCTGTGGTTGCTTGGGCAGAGTGCTGCTGTTAGCATGCATGCCAGGGACTGCCTACTTTGTACCATAGATTCCATGTGGTTGAGGGTGGAATTGTGTCCCAGGGTTACTTAGCCATAAGGTAATGCTCTGTTACCCAGGTTATTGGGTGCCACACACTGAGTGGTAGAGGACTATTGCTCTCTAATAGATACACTCTCAGAGGTCACAGAGGCCAGCAGCAGTCCTGAGTGTATTCCATTGCTGGATATTGCTGCTTTCACTAGTACATTAGATGGTAGAACTAGGGGTCTCTTTTGAATACGAGGACGTAAATAATGCAATAGTAATTTGGACTGCTCAACAATCCTAAGAGTTTGCATTGTGTAGCGCAGGGGGGACGAATGTGTTGTTTGCATGTCTAACACAGCTAAAATCCAGCTTCATTTCTCAATTCAACTTGTTAAGATGGAGAATGGAAAGCCAGTGCCCTTGATCATTGCAGCAGGAGGAGGTGGCAGGGCCTACAGGGCAAAAGCATATACAGTTCACCCAGAAAGGCTGGAGAATGATACAAGTGTCCCAGGAGTCAGTGGAAAACCAGGAGCGGCAGGTAAGGAATAATCACTGCTTCGTTCAAATTATTTTGCCCTTGCCATAAAGAGACAGTTGATAAAAGCCATCAGCTGTAAGCCAGAAAAGCAATATCGTGTGGGTAGAGTTTGTTTAGTGTTTGTGTAGCATCATTTCTTGTTGTCAAAGAAACAAGTTGTTGCACAGTTACGATCCAGTTTGTCTTTTTAGCATGGAAGCTGCTTCAGAGATAACTTATTCCCCCCAAAAGTTCCATCTGCCCATCTCCCCTATTCATCTATATAATTTATTTGGATCAAAAAACACCGTCATTAGCGAAGAAGAACAGCTCATGAGTTAAAAGTATGAATGCGGAGTCCACAGCTGTGACTTTATTTTCCTGCTGTGTCACAGACTCGTTGTGTCACCTTGACCAGATAACAAATATTCATAAGTCTTCTTTAAAACAAGCTCCTTATTTAGACTTTGAACAAATGTTTGTTGTAATGGAGGAGTTAAGAATGATTAAAACCATGACTTTTGACCTATTATTCAAAGAGGGCTTTCCCTCAAAAAAGATCTTTAGTAACACTTTTGAAACTCTGCAGTTTAGCCTAATTCTTGAATATAAATTAATATCAAACAGGACATAGATTTAAGGTCAGTTAGTCCCACTTTACAGCACATATCTGTCCCTTCATGCTCATAAGTGAACTAGTTAAACTGTAGATTTTTACTCTTGTTAAATATTATTATGGGGCACAGCCTGTATGGAAACATAAGGTAGTAGTAATCACAGGCTAATCTAAAATACAGGGGTAGGGTCCTGTGCATGCACCTGAAATTTAAGATAAGATTGTGCTGCTGCAACATGCTTTATTTTTAAATGGGGAAATCTATTCATACTCTCATTTGTTAACTACCTTAATTGTACTTACTCAAGTCCAGGTTATAGTTGCTGTTATCCATTCATTTGTTTAGGAGATTTATATGCTGCCTTTCTAGAGTCCTGCTCAAAGCAGATAACAAAGTTTAAAAATGAATAAAACACAACATGTACAATCATAAAACAGTCAGAAAACTGTCCATAAAACTTCCTTAAAAGGTAGGGTTGCCAACCTTGAGATGGCACCTGGGGAGATCCCACTATTACAATTGATCTCCAGACAACCAAGATCAGTTCCCCTGGAGAAAATGGCTCCTTTAGAGGGTGGACTCTATGGCATTCGACCCCGCCTAGGTCCCTCACCTCCCCAGACCACATCCTTTCCAGGCACCACCCTCAAAATCGCCAGGTATTTCCCAATCCAGAGTTGTCAACCCTACATGAAAGGGCATAAACAGCACAAACAGAATAAAAACAGCTACAAGTCGTTCAAGAAGTTAAAATAGTAGTCATAAAAGCAGTAGTTTACGTAATAAAACAACCAGCAAAAGCAATAGAGAAGTAAAAACCTGGATAAAGATAAATGCTTTGGCCTAACATCTAAATGACACTAGGTTAGGTGCCAGGTGGGCCTCAAGGGAGAAGGTACTCCAGAGACAACCACTGGGAAAACCTTCTCCCTAGCTGCCACCCACCTCACTTTTGCTGACAGGGGCAGAGAGCAGGGCTTTGGAGGAATACCTTAACTAATGGGTTGGCTGGGACAGGAGCAGAGTGCCCTTCAGGTACCCCAGCCCCAAATAATTTAAAGCCTTAAAGGAAACAACCAGCACTTTGAACTGTGCCCTGAAACAGGAGAGCATCCAGTGCAAATCTCTCAACATGGCAGTTATATGATTATTGTTAGGTGAAGCATCCAATTAATCATGACAATCTTTGGTAATGATTGTGAAAGTAGTGAAAAGGAATATTAGTTATTCTGCATTATTTCAGATTGCATAATCCTGTGAACACTCCCAGAGCTCCACACTATTCAGTGTTTTTTTCTGATATCCGCTGCTATTCATTTACATGTCTAATATTTGATCTATGTTCTATTTAAATATAGTAATAAGATTACTATTAGCAGGAAAAAAGGAAACACCGACTTTGTTAATATGTCCTTACATACCAGCAGTGGTAATTTGCAGAAATATTGTTGACACTTTGCACAGTGGTCACTGCTTGCACTCTTCACCTTCTCCAGGTTCCTTATTTTTCATTTTTGAGTCCCTATTTTGCGTACATATACCTATTTCCTAATCTTATGAACAGGCCTCTTTTCAGCTTTGTTTCCTTGTTAATTCTGATGTTAGCACTAGTGCTTATTTCATAGTCCCTTTCGGAGTCTTATTTTCAAAGAGTTTTCTCCCTTGTTCCAATTTTGCAAATCCATGCAAAGTAACGAGGTTGCACATGCACAGTCATATGCAAATTGGATGTTATTTTAAAAGCCACCTTGTCTACTCAAAAAAATGGGAATCAGGCACCCTGAGGAAGAAGCAAATACTACACGTAGTACAAACAATATAGAAAGCTATCAGATTACAGAGGAACAGCAAGAAATGGTGACCTGTGAGTCAAATGAATAAAGATTTTATAAGAGCCGTGTGGGGAGCAACACAGAGCATGTTTCTCTATGCATCACTTCCCCACTGATGAAGAGATAAAGGTATTTAATTCACAAAAGTGTGATTAGGATGCATATATTTAAGGTGATGAGTCATTCTGAGAATGCATTTAGAAGTCTCAATAACCTGTGGTTTATCAGACACAAGTAACAACTTCTGATTTGTGTGTAAACCAAAGTTCATCCGTTTCTAGCCTCTCAGGGAAGATTTCCCCACTGCCGTCCGTATGGCTAGGCAACTGAAAGAAGTAGTACTCTTCAACAAACTTTGGCGTGTAAATTCAGACATCACAATAAACAACAATTAGTTCAAAAAGTGTTTAAAAGTGCCCCTGTGACATCCAGTCCTCAGATTCAGCTGGGTTTGCTCAACCCACCATTTGTACAAACAGTTTCAGTGGCAGACCTAAATTTTTGGGACCCTAAAGCCTGAACTGTTAGGGGGGGGGCCTTCTCAACCAGCAACATCCAACAAAGTCCAAAGGGAACTGAGAATTCAGATGTCTTTTTTATGGTTCTGATTGGCTAAGGGATGTGCTGTAGAACTATTAAGCCATGCACCAACAAGGGATTTGAGGATCCAGTTGTCAAAATGTAGGCTACTAGTAGATTCTAGTGAGCTCAGTGAGCCCATACAGCTGTGGGTTCGGGTGCTACAAGCCCCCAAGAAAATTTTGAAATTTGATCAATTTCAGGGGCATTTTGAGGCCATATGAAACGACTATTAGAGCATATTCTAAGGTCAGTATTAAGTACTTCAACCCATTGGTTTATGATTGTCACTATAATAGCCTTATTTTAATAACAAACACTTTAAAAAAGTCATCAATTTTGTTGAAGAATTCCCTCATTAAAAAAAAAAGTTGCTTCAGGGCCTCTCCAGGATTAGGGGCCCTGAAGCTTAAGCTTTATTAGTTTCATAGGAGATCTGCCCCTGATTGTGGTGCCTGAATATAGCCAAACTTTGGGATTATGAAGACAGCTGGACTTTTAAAGTCTTCAAACAGACTCATCACACTGCCTGTCCACATGCAGGAGCACACTCTAGTATGAGACATTAAGCCACCTGAGGGCCAGCAGACATGTAGGTGGCACTTTGGATCAGAAAGTGCTTAATCAGGATCACACTTTTTCACCTTCATACAAGATTCAAATGCTTGAACAGGAGAGAAGCTCGCCTGCATGCTGTAAACAGCTAGTATAAATGGAAGATCTTTCGAGCCTGGCGTATGTAAGTGCCTACAGTGGACAGATGAATGGATGAATAGCACCAACAGCTCATTCATCATTTTGACTGAGCAAACAAATTTAACAATACATGGCTAATGCCAGCACTCTGTCTTTGGCCTTGCCATGGTAAAAATTTAAAGCACACAATGAGAAGCCAATGATTGTGGGCCAAGACCATATATTCTCTGAGCCAGTGAGAGTCTTTGCATGATGACAAAGCAGATGTAGCCTCTTGACCTCGCAGACAATGCCATGTGTGGTACAGATGCTCAATTCGGGCATCAGATTTACACAGACCTTGAGTCCCAGTTGTCTGGGAGAAATAAGGGATTATGTATGTTCTCAATAAATGTTTAAAAAGTAAATAAATGTCAAGTGGGGTTAGATTTTGCCAGTGTCTGTACATGACACTATATCTGTGGTACGTGATGCCCACTCCTCCACCACTCAGTCTTGCTTACCTGGAAAATATTTTAGTTGGTCCCGTGCCCTCTCAGCTGTCTACAGTAGATTCTGATGGTGGTACTGTTTGGATAGAGAAAGGTCTTCTGCCTCTCTGCATTTATCCGAATGGCTGCCTCAGGATGTCTGAGGGAGTACAGACAGAAGATGGAGCATGAGCTCAACGACATTTCATGTTGTGTGAAATATGGTCTGTTGCCTCTTCTACTAATACTGGCCAGAGGGGCTGACAGTATCCAGCAAATACTTCATGTAAACTGCTTTAACTTTCCTCCATGAATTCTGTGTTTCAATTTTCCTGCCATTCTGCAGTGCAGTTCTGGTTTGTCCAGCTGCTTGTGCTGGGAAGAAGAGAAGGGTCACAGGATTTGCCATATTGACCTTCTGTTAACTGGCACTGTATTAACTCCCCAGCATTAGAGGTCAAGGGCACGTCTGGTCTGCAAATGCTTATACTACAAATATGAACACGTTTAAGTGTCATTGAGTTTCTTTTCCTCCACAGATTCCTGAGACATTTAACTCTCTGGGATAAATGGATTTCCAGCAGAGAATTTTTAGTCCTCCTCCTAACTCCTCCCAGGATTTCTTGGTTCTGACACTTAGACCCATTTGCATTTGCATCTTGCTTGCATTTGTATTGCAGATATTCCCCAAGGTCCTTACTCAACTAAATCCCTGCACTTTTCCAGTCTTTGTTAGGAACCCTATGTCACAACCATGCTATTGGGGATGTGTCTTTGGAGTGCTGGGGTCTGGATTTTGAGATGCAACCGGAACTTATGTGAGCTGCTTTTCCTTCTGTTAAACTGCAGGTGGTGGAGGTGGCTGGAATGATAACACTTCCTTCCTCTGGTCGGGAAAGTCCTTGCTGGAAGGCGCTACCGGTGGAAAATCCTGCCCCCAGGCCACGAAGAAGTGGGGGTGGGAGACAAGAGGGGGTTTCGGAGGGGGTGGAGGGGGGTGCTCCTCAGGTGGAGGAGGCGGAGGATATATAGGTAAAGTGGCTTCGTGTTCAAGGTGTCCCTTCCCCTCCCCTAGTATTAATGCTCAAAGTAAATCTGAAACAAAAATTTCCTATAGCTGACATGCCTATATCTATACCTATATCCAATTATTTGAATGCTATACAATCCATTGTATTTATGCAGGATGGGGGTTAAGAATCTGCATGGCCATGAATGTACCCATTTGGCTATTCTTTGCTAGGATGGATCCTTTTAGGGTTGAATCCTGAGCATCCCAGTGGTTTTATTTGGAAAATAAAAGTTTTTAGCCCTCGTGGCTATGGAGAAAGAGTTTAAATGCATTGATAGTTCCAGCCTAAAGGTCAAATATCAGGGCGGATATAATGCAATGAGCTTCCGGTGCTCAGTAAGGGAGGATGTCTGCAGCCTTTATAGTTAATTACTCTCATTGCCGTCCCAAAATTCTCATATGTTTCTTCCTGTACTTCATCTATATCCCTGATCTTTTTTAAAAAGTTCAAAATTATGCCATAAACACGTTTTGAAACCAGCAGTGAAAAACACAATTTATATTCATTTATCTGATTTATTTAAGACATGATTTTCCACTTTCAGTCTCTGGTGGGGAAAAAAGGTTTATGCAGAATTCTGGACCCCCTGTGTATATGTTGCCTTTCAACTATAGGTGTACATAATGTAATTTACCCTGTAGTCAAATACTATCAGCAGCAAAACAATCCTAGATTTCATATTCTGAAAACTGAGGGCATGTCCACATGGCTTGGGGTTTTTTTGTGGCTTGGCTGGCACTAATTTATTACACTAGATCTCAGAAACTGGATGTGCAACTCTTCCAAACTCTGCTGTTACACTTACTACTTAAAGTGGCTGTTAATGCAGATGGCACAATCCACATGGAAGAATACTGGGCAAAAATAACCCTAAGCCACCTACATTGTGGGAATTCCTATCATGTGGACATGCTTGTAAGCCTTCAAAATCCTACTGTGAATTGTGAATCATGATAATCATGTGTTGAAATTTTTGTTTCTGACCAATGTAGAAAAATAGGAGCCATTTACTGTGCTTTATTGCATGAAAGTATTTCTGTCATGAGCACGCTGCCCTGCCACTAACATACAAAATGTGAAAGACAAGTAACTCAGTCTTCTTAGCCAGTTCTTGGCTCCCTTGCTAATGTCTGATATTTTGCCAGATCAGCTAGCACCACAGGCCTTAGAGCCAGCAGACACTAAAATGCTGTTCTTAGGGGCTAGACTCCAATCAACAGTAACCTTTAAAAGGTTAAATGCACCAGTGTCTGTTGTTAATCTCTTTTCCCATCCCACATCTTCTCATCCGTGGGTGGTCTCCTGCATTTAAAATAACTAGTTTCCTTTTTTACTACACCATGGAACAGATGGGTATGGGGCTGGCTGTGTTGAAGTAATCATCAGGTGACTTTGTTTTGAATGCTGTGACACATCTTGGAATTATGTTTAAATTGTACTTGCCACATCCTGAAAAATGCAAAGTCATGTTTAAACCAAAACCTGGCAAATTGGTTCTCAACACAATGCTAAGAATTGCCAAGGCATTCAGATGACCTGTCACCATATCAAAACAAGATCACTTTATGGTGTCTTCATCACATCCATTGCAACCTCAAAAGGGCCATATAACCCTACCTTTTGTTGCAAGAAAGCAAATTCTTCATGGTTGAAACCTAACTTAACTGTTATATATATTAATGTGTACTGCCTCTAAATAACATGTGATTATTTAAGTTTGCAGATGTAATTTTTTTTCAATTTTCTAACTTTCCTCAAAGTAGAATAAAATAGTGATTTGAGGATTGGTGGAGTGTTTGCTTAGATTGGGCAGCAATATTTATCTATTTATTTATTTGATTTATACCCTGCCCTCCCCGCCGAGGCAGGCTCAGGGCAGCTTACATAAACATAGGAACTGGTGATGAGAAAGGAATTTGTACCATATGTAGTAATAAGCCAGAGTCTGAATGTTATGACCTTGTGGTGGCTCCATAATATTTGTCACCACCTCAGAATGGTTATGAGAATCTATATTCCTCTATTTTAGATGGGTCTCCGTGACCAGATGGAACAAAAAAGAAAAGCAATCTGGTTATTGCAATCGTTGTATAAAGGCTTGACTTTTTCAATCTTTCAACCAAATGACTATGTGGAGATTTATTGTGTAGCACTCCCCAAATTGTAATTTTTCGTGCTCAGTGCTTCATTAATACCGCAAGTCTTATTAAACTTGGATCCTTGGAAGTGAAAGCCTAGAGGCACACTAAGCTTTGATCCACTACAGTCTCAATTGAATTTGCCAGATGAATTCTCTGTCAGGTGCTCCATATTTTGCCATGGAGATTATTAGCATCATTCTTTTGCCTCCTGGGGTGACAAATTCCATTGTGGTTGCCATGTTAGCCTGTTGCAGCAAAAGAATCTTGGGACACAACTATATTGCATAAACATTCATGGGTCAGAGTCCATTTTATCAGCTGCACCCCCACTGGGGATGAATAGGTATGGCAAGATCAACAACACCTGAAGATGGACACTTCCTTTCTGTACTGAGCGAGCCAATCTATGGAACCTTTATTGAATCCCAGGTTCCATAGAGTAAAATTTGCTGATGAATTCCAGTTCAGCAGCTTCACACTGTATGCCCACTTGAACCTTTCTGGAGATGATCTTGAAATCTGCCATAAGTGGTCCTGGAAGAAGGAAATGTGTTCTCAAGGGCATCTGTTACCATCTTAAATGTGTGATTTATGTCCTTATTCTTTTGCTCAGAGGCTTATCTGTTTGGCCTATTTTAAAACAGTATCTATGCAAGAAAAGAAACAGAGTAAGTTGGCTGGAAGTGGTTCACACCCACGCTAACTGAATCTTCTGTTCACTTGACTTGATTCTATATTTGTGTTCTGCATAGTACTATAATGCACTTTCTGCTGTCTTTTGTGCCTTCTGAACTCACTTGGACAAAAAATAAAATTAATCTAATAGAGACTTGGGACATATACATTTGACCACTCCAGTATCTGACAAAGCAGTCTCTGGCCCATGAAAGCTTACAGCAGACAATATTTGTTGTTCTTTAAGGTGCCCCCAAATGCTTCATTATTCTTTTATTTATGTTTTTAATTCAGCAATATAACAATATTCTAAGGTATTTTCCTGTTATCTCTAGGTGGCAATGCAGCAGAACTTAATGATCCAGAGATGGATGGAGAGGATGGTGTATCTTTTATTAATAGCAAATATGGTTCATTGTATACCCCAGCTTTAAAAGGTATTTTCATCACCAGGGAATGATTTTCATTATGTATTTGCAAAAAACTTTGAGTTTGGAGAAAGAAGTGCCGAATATAGGTATCTTGTATCCTGGAGAAGGCTGTATGTTCCCCAAAATTCACATGGTGAGGGCTCCTAGGAAAACAATACTCATACTTAAAAAGAAAGGTAGACCTTGATTCCGTCCTAGCATAGCTTTCCAGAAATTTCCAGAACAATGCACACATACATTCCCTGTCTACTTCACAGACCCTTTCCAATTCCCAGTCCTCATCCCAATGTGCCTGTATCTAACCCTGAAGTCATGGGCAAAGGGTTTCATAGCCAAGAGACTGCTATTGATAAAAGATCATACCAGTTGCCCATTTGTTGCCATAATTCCAGTTTCTTACCTTTAAAGAAATAATCTATAATTTTTAGTGCTTTGGGTATTCTTTAAGAAGCTGTGCCATGTTCCTCCAGGCTCTAAATAATGGAGTGTTCCTTTCTGTTTTACACTCATTTTTTAGCTATCTAGTTTGAGGCTTTTTAAAAAAAAAATCATTGAAACATATGTGTGAAACATTTTTAAAAAACCCCTACAACAACATGTTTCTGCTTCCCAGAGGTGAGAGTAGATTGCCATTATCTTCTGTAGTTTTTTTCAGGGGGAGGCCGGAGTTTGCCTGCTCAGAGGCACCTCTTTCCTCCTGATTTCATTTGTCCATTGGGTATGTTCAATGGTTGAGGATCTGTCCAAAGTTTAAAATAACCTGTTTGAAACATAGTTCAGTTTGACCTGATGAACCCGGGATTGTAACACTCTCAAAAGGTCTAGGACTAGCACACGAAAGGACTACCTGCTGTCATATGGGCCTGCTTGACACTTAAGATAGTCTTTAGAGCCCTGCTCTGGGTGGGCCCACCTTCAGAACAGAGGTGGTCAGCCACCATGGACAGGCCTTTTTCTCCTGTGCCCGCAGGAAATCTCTCCACACAGCTGTTTGCCTGATGCAAAATTTGGTTTGCCTGTTTTGATTATTTTAATGTCTTTTTATTTTTTTCCCATCCCTGTTTATTATTGGAAATATTTAATATTTTGCTTTGACCTTTGGAAATCATTATTTTAATTTTGTGGTTTTGTTGTTGTTTTTTGCTGTTTTCTCATCAGATTTTTCTGTGTTTTAATTTTTTTTGAGACGGTGTGGTGAACATCTCTTAAATATTGTATAATCGCTTATCTACAACCCAATAGAAAATTATTTTCCCAGTGAGTATAGTAATTTGCAGTATTTCAGTCTCTAATTCAATATAGTTAGCAGGACTGATACGCAGCTTCAAACAAGACAACATGGGATGGGGTGCACTTTCTATTCTGTGCACATGCATGAAATATTGGTGGTAGAAACCATTCATAGGTGGGCTCCTGATATTGAGACAGCATGTACATCCTACAGTGAGAGGACATGTGCAAGCTTAAACATTACAACCATGTGTAGAGAACATGGGATGCTCAGCTGGTGGTTTGGTATTAGCCCATTTTTGTCCTTTATGTACATTGTCTTATGTGAATTTTTAACTTGCAATTCCTATGCAAATAAGTAACTTTTCCCTCTGCATATTCCCTAGTGACAGAAGGACATGGAGAAGTTGACATTAGGCTGCATGTGAATTGTAGCCACTGTTATAGTGACATGTGCCATGTGGATCCGAAGACCCTAGAAATTATTTGCAGTTGTGCTCATGGGTATATGTTGGCTGATGATGGCGACTCTTGCATAGGTAAGAGAATTGACAGGATAGGTCATCTTTGTGTCTCATGTGGCATTCTGTGTGTGTTGCAGTTTCATGTCTATAAGATGGTTTATATCAGCAAGAACTCTCTGAAAGGCTGGTAAATCATTGTATCAAGAACAGTACAATACAGAGCCTCAGGCAATTACATGATAATTTTCAATATAAGAGTGCATATAACTTGCTACCTGAATTAGGTTAGGTAAAAGTTCCCTGCAGCTCAGAATATGGTCACAACCTTAAGAGCATATCTGCCACTCTCAACTCACTTCATAATATATCTGATCAAATTAGTTTCTGCCTATGAACTCTTATGTTCTGATAAGTTCAGGAGATAATGCAGTGCCTTTTGCCATCCTATTTTGTCTCATCCCTTCCCATTTGTCCCATCTGTTGTCTTTGCATTGCACAAAAATGCAAGTGAACCTTTGCTGTAATCAGCTTTCCTGGATCTGTGACCTCCAATGGCTCATTGTTCCACTTTCCTCAATTAAGAGCAAGCCATTGAAACAGAAGGTTTTCTGTCAGGAAATTAAGAGGGGCACTCAATGGATATGAAAGCAAAGCTGTAAAAAAAAAACTGGAAGAGAGAAAATGTTAAAATTAGCAGGGCCAGAAATCAAAGCATCTGTCAGTTTCATCTTGAATGTGAGTCAGTGCTATAGCAGAGTGAGGGAAAGGACTGTGGAATATTTTTTCAATAAATACATTCTCGCCAGAAAGAATTATTTGTCCAGGGAGGACTCCCTGCATCGGGCTGTGGCCAGTCTTATGTCAAGCAGGGAACCAGCAACTGCCCACGCTGCCACTCATCCCATAATCTGCACAGCCATCCACCCAGTCCTGTTCCATTCTTGAATCTGCCCTCAGTACAAGGAGTGTTCTGCTTCCCAGAGCACGAGTGCTCTGCATTGGAGTAAAAGTAGGGAAAATAGCTATTCCTCCTTTACTATGTGGCATAGGAAACGCTGAAGGAAACCATTAACATGAAGTAGGCAGCCTACAAAATGTTATACACTTTGTTTTGATTTCACCAAAAGTGCATTTCCTATTCGTCACGTTTTCCTTGGTAGCTAATTGTAATGATGCAGAGGGCTGCTTTATCTCTTCAGTGCAGATTCAGGTTTCTTGTTGTGAAATGTACACTTGACAGGAAACAGACGCAGCTCTCTGACAAGCCTACTTATATGACACACTTGCTTTCAAACATCACATGTTCAGGTATTGACTGTTTTTTTAAAATTTGATGTATCCTAAAATATAACATGTGCAGAGGCACCAATAATTAACACCTTAATTAGTCTATATGGTCTTTACAATATACCAAGTGTGTGTATGTTCCTTCCATTTTTTAGTCTATATGGTCTTTACAATATACCAAAGTTAAGTGTGTGTATGTGGCTTCCATTTCAACCCTGTTCACATGTTACAGTGAATGCACATACATCCTGCCTGTATATGTTTACATCAGTTTGTAATAGGGTTGCCAACCTCCAGTGGGCATCTGGAGATCTCCCAGAATTACAGCTGCTCACCAGACTACAGAGGTCAGTTCCCCTGGAGAAAATGGCTCCTTTGGAGGGTGGACTCTATCTCATTAAACCCCAGTGAGGTCCAATGAGGTCTGTCTCATTATACCTCAGTGAGAGCCAGTTTGGTTTAGTGGTTAAGAGTGGCGGACTCTAATCTGGAGAACAGGTTATGATTCCCTACTCCTCCACATGAAGCCAGCTGGGTGACCTTGGGCCAGTCACAGTTCTCTCAGAGCTCTCTTCAGCCCTACGTACATCAGAGGGTGTTGTGGGGAGAGGAAGGGAAGGTGATTGTAAGCCTCTCTGAGACTACTTTGGCTAGTGAAAAGCTGGGTGTAAAAACCAACTCTTCTTCTTCTTCTTTCTTCTCAACCTCTGCCTTCTCCAGACTCCACCCCCAAATCTTCAGGAATTTCCCAATCCAGAGTTATAAGAAAGAGCTAGTGCACTTTCACTTCACTAATGAAAACCAAGACCAGTACTTGGATAAGTGTTTGGTTTGTATCACACATTCCACTGTACATGTGCTTACTGTAACATGAGAGTTACTCAATGCACATACAAAGAATGATTAAGTATACACTGTACACATTCTGTACATGAATTCACTGTAACTTGTAAACAGGGCTGGATCATACATCCAAAGAAGAATACTCTTGCTAATGAAAGCTAACCTACCAATTAAGTCTATGTGGGGCCACAGCATGGCCTGTATACTGTATAACTGCAGTGTGCAGGCATTGAATTTTGTTCTGGATGTAGCGCTCTACATCCTGAGAGCATAGATTTTCATTTTTCTAAAAAAATTACTATCATATGTGACTCAGAAAATAGGTTTGAAATTGCAAGTTATGCTTTGTAAAAATTCAGGAGGCCGAGTGGGACCAGGAATAATCAGGAGGTAAAGCTTCATTGTCCTGGGCAATACACTGGGGTTGCCTTGATGCAGAATTATTTTTCCAACACAGCGTGTGGGTGTGGCAATTTTGCCCTCTTGCTCCTTGAGGTGTCCCTGGCTACTCTGTGATAGATATGTGGATGCATGGCCATGTGACCACTTTTAAGAGTTGTGCTGCGGAGGCGAGTCGAAATGCTTAATGCCTTTTTGTCTGTTCCAGCTGAACCGATACTGCCTGATAATGGTCCCCCTCTCTCCTTGGTCTTGTCTGTACTAACATCAGCCCTGGTTGCTGCACTCATTCTTGCCTTCTCGGGGATCATGATAGGTGAGTTCCTTACTGGCCCAGGGTGTGAGGAAAGCAGCAATGCTGCAGCACATGATGCAACCTAATGCCTGAGTCGCCACCTTACTTGTCAATGTCAGGTTACCATTATGGCAATTTTAAATGTATGTTGTTTAATGTTGATATGAATCCAGTGATCTATACAAGTTTTATCTGACATGCAGGGTAACCCAGTTTCATATATAATTCCAACACAGCAAATGGCAAATGTTGCTGTTGTTACCATAAGCTTTAAAATACTCAATTTTCTTCTCCCAAAGCTTCAGAGCAGTACACAATACCCAGGTCTTTAACAAACAAAAAAATGAACTAAATGAACTAAAACTATATAAAAAAATTAATCCAGACTTCCATCTCAGTAACTGATTATAGCACAGGACAGTTTTTCAGGAAGGGAAATGCCACAACAAATCTCCATTATGGCTGAATGGACAGCAAAATAAGGAGATTCAGAGTAAACAAGTGTGAAGTTATGCCTACTGGTGAAAAAGAATCTTAACTGCACATATAAACTGATGGGATCTGAACTGGGTGGGACTCTCCAGGAAAGAGATTTTGGGGGCAACTCAGGGAAAACATCAAATCAGTATGCAGCAGCTTCCAAGGAAGAGTCCAAAAATAATAAGCAAGAATCATAGTGCCTTTAATCCAGTATTCCTAATGCAGTGTAGCACAGGATTCTGAGTAGATCAAGTTAGTACTGTTCTCTAAGTAGGAACAGGGTAGATTTCTTCTTTTCCAATTTCTCCATAGCATTCAGTATTTTATAAACCTCTTTCTCCCTACCTTATCATCTAGAACCCACGGATCCCTAATGATGTTGAAGAATGATCCCTCATTCCAAACCAATGTTTTATTTGCTGTTTTTATGTTTTCGATGTATTTAACTCTGTTTTTAATTGTTTTAATGATGCATGTAGGGGAGTTGCTTTTAATGGTTTTAATATGTGATTTTGTCATGTGTGTTTTAAATAGTCACCTTGGTGGCCCTTGTAAGGGCAGAAAGGCACGATACAAATGTTGTAACTAAAATAAGCAGTAGACTCAGTACATATAAAAGGAAGTCCTTCTTCCCACAGTGCATAATTAATTAATGGAATTCCCTTCCACAAGATGCAGTGACTGTCAGATAGCTAATTTATGCAAGATGCAGGGTACAGCCAAAGTACTTATGCAGCAGGATTTCTTGCAGCCCAGAATCTCACTTAAAATACTTTTAAACTGTGTTTAGGCCCTTAATGATACACCATTAGCCAATCAGAAAGCTGTATCCTACGGAACAGCTAGAGCTGTATGCTGACAGTACATTTGAACTGCTTGTTGAACGGGCAATATACAATGAGGCACAGGAAAGTGCTTTCCCCACACCCTACACCCAGCATAAATTGGTTCTTAAATCGTAGCCAGATTCATGAAAGACACATCTATCAGAGTGATAACGATATGGAAGTTTCATGTTCAGAGGCAAAATAATTTTGAATTTCAGGACATAACTGTTTGTTTATTTGTTTATTAACTTTTATTTTATTTAATACATTTGTTAGCTACCTTTCTCCCTTGCAAAACTCAAGGCAGCTTACAATATGAATAAAACGTTATGAAAAACACAATAAAAACAACAGTTATAAAACCTATACAAGTCACAGATTAAACATTCCAGTTAGGTCTGCCAATAACAAAAGCTAAATCAGTCAAAGCAGCAATGAAGGGGGGCATCTACCCACCAAATGAGCATCTTTTATTGGTGGGACTGTCAGGTGAGCTTCTCTTGATTCCTGGGTAGGATTGTATGAGAGAAGATGGTCTTTCAAATACCCCTGTCCCAAGCCGTGTAGGACTTTAAAGGACCAAACTAACACCTTGAATTGGGCTTGGGAGCAGATCAGTAGCCAGTGTAATTGCTAAAGTGTTGGGGACATGTGCTTCCGATAGCTGGCCCTGACCAGCAGTCTAGCTGCATCATTTTGCACCAGTTATAGCTTCTGAACACTCTCCAAGGGTAGCCCCAAGTACAGTGCATTACTATAGTCCAGTCTAGATATAACTAAGGCATGGATCATCTGAATGACCCAGGAACAGAGGCAGATGGAGCACCAGCCAGAGCTAGGCAGACGCACTCTGAGTCACAGCAGTCACCTTCCTAAGGTGACCACTGTGTCAAGCAGTGCTCCCAAACTGCGAACCTGTCTTTTCAAGGTGTGTATAACCCCATTCAAGACAGGGGAGATCTGAAGTCCCTGGCCTGCCTTTCCACTAACCCAGGGAACCTCAGTCTTGTCAGGATTAAGTTTCAGCTTCTTCACCCTCATTGAATCCATTATGGACTCCAAGCACCGGTTCAGAAAATCAACAGAATCCTCATGGAAGATTTTTCTTTTCAGAGCACCTCTAATTGCTGTCTCTTTGAGCATGGGTGGCACAACTCTCACTTGCAAAGAAGCATTTACCGCTCCCCTTATCCACTCAGCCAGCCTCCCTCTGGCAGCTTTTGTCAGCCAAAAAGAGCAAGGGTCAAGAACACAGGTGGTAGGTCTCACCTGCCCGAGGATCTTGTCCAGAGGTCATTTCATAGAAAAAGAGCTGCAGGAGCTCATTAGCATACCTAATAAGCTATTAGCATAATAACTATTAGCATATGCCACGCCCCTGGAGGGGAAGCCAAAGGGGGGGAGGCATCTTCAAAAGCCTCCCCTTCCCCTTCCCTTCTCCAGCTGGCCTGCTAAGGCGGGCTGGGGGGGGGGAAGCGAAGAGAGAAGAGATTTAAAGTTTAAACCCTTTCTCTCTGGAATCACACTGCAGTGGCGGTGCGATCTTTCCATTATATTCTATGGGGTCATAGAATAGAATGGAGAGATCACACCGCTGCTGTGGCGCGGCTCTAGAGAGAAGGAACTTGGGGACGGGGGTGGGGAGCTGGGGGCAGGGCTTGCTGCCACCACCATTTGTGCCTGCTCCTGGGCCGCCGGCCCCAAATGACCCCTGACTCTTGTCCACATCTTTAGGATCCACAAGCTGAAAGGCATCCATATAACTCATATAAGCAGATGCCAAAGGTACATCATCCAAACATGCATCTATGCTGGCATCTAACCCAGATTGGATCTAAGTGATTTTGTCTCCAAAGTGAGTGGCAAATTGATCATACTGAGCCATCATGTGGTCAGAGTCCAAATCCTTGGGGCTATGATGTCAGAGTCCCAGAACCACACAAAATAGCTCAGCTGAATGATTATGTGCAGACTCAATGGTGGAAGAGAAATAGTGCCTTTTCACTGCCACAGAATAGGCTCTACTGTGGGCTCTGTGCCATGTTCAATCAGTGTTGCTCCAAGTTTTCTGCCAGCAGCACTCTACCCATCACCCCTCCTGTTTCATCACCATCAGCTTGGCTCTGACTAGGAGGACAGGGTGCTTAGGAATGATTACATCAACTGCTTGGGCCATCTCCTTATTCCAGACAGCAGTCAGATCCTCAACAGAAATAGATGGGATTATAGGAAATAGACGGGATGGCAAGAGATCTGGGACTGGATCTTTCTACAATTATTATTTTTAAGTAGTTGTTCAAGGTCCTGATTTGGATTGGAACCACTCAGAGAGGAGAGAGGGTTGACCCACCCCCACATAATTTGCCCTGCTCCGTTAACAGTCAAAACCACAGACACACTTCATTAGCCTTTGAAGGAAAAAAAGGCAAGCGAAATACTGATGCCGATCTTTTTCATTTCAGTTCGTCTGTCTGTTGCGCTTATACCCAACCCTCCCTCCAAGGAGTTCAGGGCAATCTGTATTGGTCTCCTCTCCTCCCTTTTGCCCTGTGAATTAGCTTAAGCTGAAAGAGAGAGTGTGGCTGACCCACAGTCACCCAGCAAGTTTTCATGGCTGAGTGGGGTTTGAACCTGGGTCTCGCAGAGTCTAGTCCTACACTCTAACCACAACCCCACACTGGCTTTCAAGGATAATAACAAACAGGAGAAGGCAGTTTAAGTTGATAAAATCATGCAGGGGTGGAAGAATTAAACCCCCTTTCTGTGCCAGTATTCTGTTGGATGATTTTTCACATGCAATGGGCACAAAGATATCATTGAGAACTTGCTGTGAAGAAACAGAAAATGACAAGAAGGAAGGTTTGATTTTCACAAGGGAGAAATTGGTACTTTCAAGTCAAACCAACAGGGATGAGAAAATTGAGAGCATCCCTAATAATTTTATGCATCTTAAATTACTGGTGTGACTCTTGATGAGGCATATATCTTTGAGACATACTATGGGAAATACTAAGTTCTCCACTTGTGTAAAAGTAAAAAATAGTGATGAATGCAATTTTTAACTTTCCTGGGTGTGCGATTAAAATAAATTCGAGATGGCCAGTTTCCTGGTTCTTGGGACCGCTCTTTTGTTCAGACATTTTTGGAAGGGGTGATGCAGAGATACCTAACCTGCTCACAGATAAAGGGCTGTAATAAAATATTACATCACCTCAGCTATGTTCTGAGGAGAGCCTTGTGCTCTTCAGATAGTAACCCACTGGTGGTCCCCAGCCCCAAAGTCATCTGGCTGTCCTTTTCAGTCCTGGCCCCAACCTAGTGGAACCTTATGGAATTCCACAGGGACTGCAAGGGTGAGATGTTCCACCAGACCTTTGGTTGAGAACAGTGATGGTTTTTCATCTTGGCGGGCACCCTCTTCCGCTCTCCACATTTGCCTTACCCCTTCCCCCCTGCCTGCGAAGCAACTGGCAATCTGAAATGGGATTGTTTGCCAACTGTTTTAAAATGTGTTGTTCAATTTTAGTTGTTTTATCTAGTGCATGTTCTTATTCATATTGTACATTGACCAGAGCCCTTCAGTAGCAGGTCCTGGGCTGCTGCTGCTGCTGCTGCTGCTACTTATTATTATTATTTTCCAGAAATGAACGGAATCACAATTCAGTCTACTGTATCTGAACTACATAAAAAGATATATTGCCTGTGATCCAGCAG